CCTCACGCCGTGAGCCGGGCGGGGGCTGTGTCCCGGCCGCAGCAACAGGTCACTGCCTCCGGACCTGGGTCTGTTCTCTGCGTCTAGACACAGAGCCTGCATCTGGTGCAGGAGAAAAAGACCAAAAGTGCATGAAGCCAGCCAGCCCAGGGACGATGCTCAGTATCACTAGTCACTATGGCAACGCGGCCAAGACCACAGTAAGAGGCCACGTCACTCCCACCAGGACAGAGCCGACCAAACCCAGAAACAGCAGGTCCTGGGAGGACGCGGGGAGCAGGGAGCGGGGAGTGGCCCCGCGGCGGCTGCGGGAAGGGGAGGGAGCAGCTGCCGGGGGGACAGGCCGCGGCTCCTCAGACAGGTCAGCGCGGACTTACCTGCGACCCAGCAATGCCACTCCCGGTAAAGACCCCGAAGGACTGAGAACAGAGGCCCTAACGGATCCCTATGCTCCTGTGTCCACGGCAGCTCTCCTCACAGCAGCCGAGGGCGTCAACCAGTGTCCACGCACGGCTGACGGGATAAACCGCAGGGGCCCGCCCAGCGCTGGAACGTTACTCGGCCGGGAAAAGGAGGGGCTCAGGCACAGGCTCCCCTGGGAGGAGCCTTGAGCACAGGACGCTCACGGAGAAGCCAGACACAAAGGCCCCGTGTGACCCTGTGCACACGAACGCCTCGGACAGCAAACCCAGACAGAGAGCAGATGGGAGTGATGCCAACAGGGATGGGGGGGTCCCCTTGTCGGGGGATGAAATGCCCTGGCGCTGGGGAGAGGTGATGGTGGGACCACATTACAACATGGGGGGGAGAGGGAGTGCTAAATGCCACCGGTGCGTGCACTTCAAAGTGGCTGAAATGGCAAATTATGTGTGCATTTCACTTCAATCAAAAGAATAAAGCCCATGAAGCCAGAACTAAAATTCACACAATAAACTGTGATGTGCACTCCTGTGGCTCTCCCCCCCGCGACTCTCCCTCCTGTGGCACTCCCTCCCAGGATGCCACCTCCATGAGACTCCATGGCTTTCTCCCATGGCATCTCCTCCCGTGGCGCCCCCTCCCGTGGCATCCCCTCCCGTGGCGCCCGTGGCTGGCTCACCTCGTCGTCGTGCACCAGCTCCTTCTTCACCACCTTCATGGCGTAGATCTGGTCGTTCTTCTTGAGCCGCACCAGGAGGACCTTGGCGTAGCTCCCGCGCCCGATGACCCTGATGAGGTCGAAGTCCTGCAGCCCCAGCCCCTGAGAAATCTTGATGCCGTCCATCCCGTCGATGACGGGCTTGAGGTCCTGAAGGGGGGGGCGGGGGGACAACGGAGAGGAAAGGGGGGAACTTGCGGGGTTCAGAGACACACGGGGCATCCCAACCTCAACCAAGACCTGCGCCCGGTCCTGCAGCCACCCCACTCGGGAGAAAAGCCAAGAACTAAGGACGGCGCAGCTTTCGGCGGAAGGAGCTCGAAACCCCGGAGCTCTTCATTTTCACAGACCGCGGCCCATCCCAGCCGCCGGTGGCCCGTGAGGGATGCGGGATGCGGGATGCGTGGGGGCAGCCTCGCCAGGACTGAGGGGGTGACTGCAGGCTCACGTGCCCTGGGCCATCAGGGCTGCGGCCGGGAGCTGCCTGGCCCGCCCGGCCATCACTAGCTCCGTCTCCAAAGCGAGTGTTACTGGGACGTGCTCAGAGCGACGGGCAACCACTCCCTCCCTCCCTCCCTGTGGAGCACCTCCGCCCAGGACCTGGGGCCAAGGAGGTAAGTGTCTCTGACTCGCGCACACGGGACCACAGGTAGGAAACGGACCGGGACATCCGTGGGTCACTGTGGGAAGTGGGCCAGGGGGCTGCTCCCCGAGGCTGTGTGGACAGAGGTGAGCGCCGGCTGTGTGGCCAGTTGCCTGCTCACGAGGGCACCTCGACGGTGCCCATCACCAGTGCTGCCCAGAGGCCACGCGCATCCCAGGCCCGAAGCCGGGGAGGAACGGGAAGGGCAGCAGCGGGTCTGCCCGGCCAGGACCCTCTCCGGCCAGAGGACCACCTACAACCCAGGTTTATAAAACGACCTGGGTATCCGGTCTTCCTCCCAGACCTGGCACAGAGCTCCTAAAGCCTTTGGAATTTCCCAAGTGCCCGAGGGCTTCTGTGATGCTAATGAGGTGACTGTGCAAAGCCCCTCAATCACCTGGGAGGGGCGGTTGCCAGGGAAACCAGCCCACGGAGATGGAGATGGGAGGGTGGGAACTTTCACGGAGCTCACCGTGGCCAATGAGGGTGGGTTCGCTCCTGCCTGTGGAACGAAGCCCCTAAGAGCCCAAAGGACGAGGCCGGAGACCATCCAGGCTGACCAACACGTGCAGGTTCGGGGAGGGTGACCCCCGGGAGGGCTGGGCCCGAGTTATTTCCTTTTACAACGAACCCGCCACCTACACGTGAAGCTTCCCTGACCCCGAGAGCCGCTCAGCCACAGGGGCTGCCAGCAGCACAATGACACGCTGCGCTGTGACCTGCGCGGGAGGCGGGCGTCTCCTGGCCCCGAACCCTCCCCCCTCCCCCCGTGGGGCCGGGGCGCCTCCAGGCAGACGAGCCAGCACTGGGTTAGGCTGTAGGACCCGGGCTCAGGGTCCGACGAGAACTGGGGAACTGCTTCGTGGGAAACACACAGCAGGAAAAGTGAAGGATGCATCGTTCGACGAAATAAACGATTTCACAAAAATGAGAGCTCAGACACCGGCCTGGACCCGGTCTGCCGGCGGGTGAAGAGGGTGCTGGGGAGATGGTGCCAGGATGCGACCCCAAAAGCCTTCAGGGCAGTAGCCTCTGGGGAGTCACAAAGGACAGAACCCAAGCGAGCCCGGCTGGTGTGGTTCAGGGGTGTCGGCCTAGGAACCAGGAGGTCAGGGTTCGATTCCTGGTCAGGGCATAGGGCGGGGTTGCCGGCTCCATCCCCAGTGTGGGCGTGCAAGAGGCGGACGATCAATGACTCTCTCTCGTCATTGATGTTTCTCTCTCTCCCTCTCCTTTCCTCTCTGAGATCAATAAACATATCCTATATAATAAAGAGGTAATATGCAAATTAACCCTCACAAGATGGCTGCCTACGACCAGGCCAGTTGATTTATTATAAGTTTCAGACTATTGTGGATACTGCTGTTTTACATATATTTGAATCTTTCAGTAAAAGTTGGCACAGAATTCTGCTAGCTGTAAATCTAAGAATGAAATAGGAGGGAAGGTCTTCCAAGTTTTGCTCTGAACTTATTATGTATCTTCATAATTCTTTTCGCTGGGCATATTTTCCTATCAAGATTGTTAATTATAAATAAACCTACCATTTATGAACTTACGATCCATAGCTGAATTGGAGAATCCTATATAATAAAGAGGTAATATGCAAATTAACCCTCATGCCCTCACAAGATAGCTGCCTATGACCAGGCTGGCAGGGGGGTTAGTGAGGGACAACCAAATGACTGAACAGCAGGCTGCGTGGGGTGACCAGGCCGGCGGGGGTGGGAGGCAGTTAGGAGCGACCAAGCCGGCAGGGAGGGGGCAGTTGGGGGTGACCTGGCCGGCAGCGGGGGGCAATTAGGGGCGACCACACCGGCAGGGGAGGCAGTTAGGGGCAATCAGGCCGACACACAGAGGCAGTGAAGGGCGATCAGGCAGGCAGGCAGGTGAGCGATTAGGAGCCAGCGGACCAGGATTGGGAGAGGGATCTCCAGGATCGGGCCTAAACCAGCAGTTGGACATCCCCCGAGGGGTCCCGGATTGGAAAGGGTGCAAGTTGGACTGAGGGGCCCCCCGCCTCTTCACGAATTTCGTGAATGGATCCTCTAGTATTAAAAAAAAAAGACCCAGCACTGCCAGAGCCAGGTCCTGGGTGCCCCCTCCTCGCCGCCCAGTCTCCTCCCGGCGCCTCACAATCAGCCTTCACATCGCACACAGGTTCCCAGAGACAGAGGGTCCCGTGTGCCGTGTGAGCAGTGCCCGTGGACACCAAGGTCTCGTGGCTTCACGAGGCACCGATTTCCCACGATGGGAGCGCCTGTCGTGGAAAGGGTCACAGGGAACCTGAGGATCTGAGCCTGGGAGAGCCACGTCACGAATGAGCTCGTGGGCATCTCAGTCCACGTGTGGCCCTGGGCCCAGACACAGCCAGCCCCGCAGAGGGCCCAGGAGACAAGGCAAAGGCTCATGAGCCCGCCCCCCAACCAGCCTGCCCCGAGCCTGTGGCCACATGGCCTCCTGCGCCCACTGTGATGGCCGGAGCCCCTGGGCTGATGTGGAAACAGCCATGCCAACACCGGTGCCACGGAAGCTCCCTGAGTGCCAGCGCGGTGCTAAGTGTCTCCCACGGACAGTGCGATCATTATCCAAACCTGTCCACAGAGCCCTGGGGTCAGAGATCCCTGAGCCAGGCTAGGCCGCCTGCCGCCTGGGCTCCCACAGCCTCAGCCAATGACAGCTCGGCCCCCACACTCTGAGATTCAGCCACATTCACCTACTCTGTCCATCCAGCCACTCAGAGCTCACCTCGGCACTAAACATAAAGATGCTAAACCTCACGGACCTCTGCCCCCTGCGGCAGGGGCCCTCCTGCTGCCCCCAAGACCACGCCCTCCCTGAGCCACATCCCCAAACATTAAAATGCCTCAGTTGCCCCAGAAAGGAGCCGATGGACCCAGACAGACATGAAATCCTCAGGCGCCACCTGCACTCACCTCCGAGTCATCTTTAATGCTGTCACGTTTCCGGGAGGAGGAGATGTAAGGAACTAGGAAGGGAAAGGAACAGGATGTCACAGGTGCGGTCAGGAGGACGTCCCCCGACACCGGGACCAGGCCAGCGGCGCGCGGGGCAGACGCCGGCAGCAGCCACACCCGACTCAACCAGGCTTAGGAAGCGCGGCTTCCCGGGCCCCGCGCAGGCCTGGGGACGAGTCACGGCACATGCTGGGTCCACCTGCCAGTCTTTGTCCTTAGAGTGGACAGATGGGCAGATGGGCAGGTGGACGATGGGTGGATAGGGGGGTGGGTGGCAGGTGGATGGGGAGATGAGATGGTGAATGAGGGGATGGTGGTTGGTGGACAGTAGATGGTGGAAGGGTGGGTATGTGGATAAATGGGTGGATGATGGATGGTGGGTGGGTAGATGGATGAGTGAATAATGGGTGGGTGGATGGGTGGATGGATGGTGGATAGTTGGGTGGATGGGTGGAGGGGATGGTGGATGGGTGGGTGGTGGACAGATAGGTGGGTGGTAAATGGATGGGTAGATGGATGAGTGAATGATGGATAGGTGGGTGGATGGTGGGTGGTGGGTGGTGGATAATGGGTAGGTGGTGGATGGGTGGGTGGATGGTGGATAGTTGGGTGGATGGGTGGATGGGATGGTGGATGGGTGGGTGGTTGGGTGGTAGGTGG